TTAGTATGTAGAAACTATTACACTGCAAAATGAAGTATTAAAACATTGCCTTGCAGGACCCCTGCCCCAAAGAGGCACACCTACAGAGCTCTACAGAAGCAGTAGTAAAGGAGGAAAGACTGCGAAGTTCCCCTGGAGCCTGGCAGCGCTTTACCCCCAAGCTCTTACCTACTGAGATGAAGACCTCCATTGGGAAATTGTCAGGCTCTACCTCTACAGGTCTGGGATGCAGGTTAACAACTTCAAAGTCCATGAGATTCAGAATCCCCATTCCTAAAGAGGAATACTGGCTAACAGGTTCTTTCTCTTGAGGATTCTGCTCCTGCCTGGCAACTTACTCGGAAATATGATGTTTCTACAAGTATGTGGCTCAGAAAAGGAAGATTAAAGAATATGTGTGTGTGTGTGCGCGTGTGTGTGTGTGTGTCTTCCCTTTGATAAAATAATACAAGAGATCTAGTGGGTCCCTTCAAACCGAAACCATTCTGTGGTTCTATCATCCTCACAAGGAACCCGTATCAGGGATGCCATCGAAAGGTGAAAGGACAGGATGAAAGCAGAGCCCAGCTACACATTAAATCAGATGTAACAAATTCACTTCTCTAAACTGAAGGAAAAAAAGACTCGTCAGACACTGTAGTTTTGGTGGTAAAGACAGTTAAACATGGGAACAGATGGGCCTCGGAATCCCTGGGATCTCCATCTCAGGTTTGAGAATTGACAGGCAATCATCCAGCCAGTTAATTGTCAGCACATCCCAACACAGTTTGGCCAAGGCCTACCAGGATGCTTCCACAAAATGTCTGGGCATGATTTAGGGTGTTACAAGGACTAAGACTCATTCACAGTTGGCAACACCAGTTAGGCAATCCTGTTTCAAGAGGAAGAGATTTCAGCCATCTGGATGCAAGCCATGCAGTACCATTTTATCTCAGGACCACACAGCAGAGCCTGATATTTTTTACATATTAATACAAACCCATTTTCTGAAGTCCTCTTTAGCCTGATTTTCCAACAGTTCTATAACATGTTCTATACTGTTCCCTAAGATGCAATCGTAACACAACATTGAAAAGAAGCCCATTACATGAATTCTGAGAAGAAATTATTCAGCTGCTCAAAGGAGCAGAAATTTTTAAAGACAATTAGGCAGAACAAGTAGTAGAGGAACTTCTTTCACCTTCAGGTCACCAATTTATACTGATTCATCTCAGTGGCAACTGGAACTCATTACCTTTTGAAAGCTTTGCAAGATAAATCGCATGTCTTTGTCAATAGCTTCTCATGGAGAAATGTCAGTATCGCCAGATTTGGTATTCCCCGGTGTTATTAACATTAGTGGACAAGAGATTCAGAGCAGCCCTGCAGAGAAGGACTTGGGGTTGTTGGTTGATGACAAAATGAACATGAGCCGGCAGTGCACCTGGGCTGCATCAAAAGGAACGTGACCAGCAGGTCAAAGGAGGTGATCCTGCCCCTCTACTCTGCTCTTGTGAGACCTCACTTGGAGTATTGTGTGCAGTTCTGGTGTCCTCAACATAAAAAGGACATGGAACTGTTGGAACAAGTCCAGAGAAGGGCCACAAGGATGATCAGGGCCTGGAGCACCTCCCGTATGAAGACAGGCTGAGAAAGCTGGGGCTGTTCAGCCTGGAGAAGAGAAGGCTGCGTGGAGACCTCATAGCAGCCTTCCAGTATCTGAAGGGGGCCTACAAGGACGCTAGAGAGGGACTCTTCATTAGGGACTGTAGTGATAGGACAAGGGCAAGGGGTTAAAACTTAAACAGGGAAGTTTAGATTGGATATAAGGAAGAAGTTCTTTACTGTGAGGGTGGTGAGGCACTGGAACAGGTTGCCAGAGGAAGATGTGAATACTCTATCCCTGGCAGTGTTGAAGGCCAGGCTGGACAGAGCCTTGGGTGACACGGTTTAGTGTGTGGAGTCCCTGCCCACGGCAGGGGGGTTGGAACTTGATGATCTTAAGGTCCTTTACAACCATAACTATTCTATGATTCTATGATTAGTGTAATCAGGGCAGCGGCAAAAGACTTAGTTTTATACTCAGGACTAAACTTCTGTTTGTACCTGCAGTTAGAACCCCAACATCTTCTGATAGTAAAATAAACTTGGGGTCATCTCTAATGAGGTAAAATCACATCTCACCATACTTACAGTAACAGTTCATGCATACAGAGAGGAAGTTCTGAGGCTTAATTCTGAGACTGAACTACTGTGCTCTTTTAGTGCTAATCCTCCAGGTACCTTGAACTATGACATGACAATAGCATCGCTATTTTTCTGCTACTATTTGTTTTGATCAAATTCACTTTAAAATTAACTTATCTTACGGAGCTATTTAGAGCTGAAGGAGATTGATTAAATTAAGAATGCAGTATGGTCATTGTTAGGAAATAACAGTGGTAATAAAGACTCCAGGAGCTAGAAGACAGATTAAGAGCGGTGAAATTAAGGGTGAGGTATCAGGAAAAATAGTGAGATTTCAATTCCTAAATAGGGAGAACAGTCTGGCTATTTAAATGTTCTTTAATCCTTCAGCACGGTTTCAAGAACATGAAAAAGAGAACAGCAGCAACTTGGCGGTTAAGTGGTTCAGCCAAGAAGGCAGATCTGAACAGAGAGTCAAGGGAAATACAATGCAAACTTGTTAGGGCTTGAAAGGAGGTAATATTATGAAGTAGGTTTTCTTTATAAAAATACCTTGATTTCTCCTGAATTTCTTCCTTTCTCCCTCTATAGCTCAAACAAAGCTCCTGCTGTTGCTCTCTGTTCAGCACCAAAGTACATTACACAATTTCCTCTGCCTATGTTGAGGTTTTGTAGCTACGTGAGCAAGTACACCGTTAAATGGAGAATATTAACAAAGAATGAAATCTACATCTAGCACTGACTGTACCATGTGTGTCAAATATTGTTATAAAAGAAATATTGGGAACAGCAAATCACAGCATCTTTAACATGGGGGCACTTAAAATCTGGATTTTTATTCTCCTAATGGTCTGTAACTTTTTCTGTTTATCATGCCAGCAATTACAGGCAAAATTTGCCATCAAACCTAATAACGAAATAAACTCATTAGTCTGATGTTTAGTTTAAAACAGAAGCAACAAAATAAAGAAAACTCAAGATTTATGCTTTCCTTTGAGGAGGGCCTGTGAGCTATACAATATTGTTGAAGCTATGTCAGAGTCACTTCCAACATCCTAAGTGACTGGCTGAAAGATGGGCAGCTGGAATTAAATCTCCTTGCTTTTGTTCAGTTGGGCAAGGCTGTCATGCCATTGCAGAGTAACTCTGAGTGATCCATGAGCATATTTTCTGATGTTATGACTAGCAACACAGCAGCAATGAATTATTCTCACTCTGTTTATTCCAATAAACTTCAAAAGCTTATAGAAGAATAAGCTGCATCCAGCTGAATGTCCTGGGACAGTCTGTCCTCCTGAGACTCCTAGGCTGAGATACAAAGTACACCAGATTTCAGTAGAGCATGAGGATAAGGCAGCATTAAAAACAAGGGCATAAGTGACACAGTAGAAAAAGCAGCCTCAGGGACAGTCCTGCAGTGAGAAAGACGTAGCTGCCAGCAGTCCAAAGTACCCCTAAAATATTACAGAAAAATGCAAGATTTCCCATTAAATCAGAGCTAGAAACACAGCTTTTGTTAATGGCTTTTCCCTGAAAGGGAGTTGCACAATTTGTACCGCTTGTTTGGGACATTAATCCTGTGTAAGTGTTCTCAGCAGGAAGCACATTATAGTTTAAGTTCCTGAGTATTCTGGCAAGTTAACCCCCAGTGTTATCACTGACTGTGGGGCTGAACTTGTCAAGAGGACTATGAAACACTGGACTCCTGCTCAGCTATCTCTCCACAGACAAACAATCCAACAAGAACACATGATACCACCTTTGAATAAAGATTAGTGGTGCACATAATTTCCACCTAAGGGGGACCAGCACTGGGAGGGGAACAGAACCTGGGCAATTGCATGGGAGCTGCAAGCCAGTAACAACTGGGCAGACTGAGGCACATACAGAGCCAGGCACAAGGTGAGCTTCTTCACAGTTCCTTGCTCCTACAAACCCTCCTACACAAGCTCCTGACTGACCCACACCTACTCTTCCAGACCAGTATCCCTTCCCAGAAAACTGCTGCTTGAACCAAGCTAAATAAAACAATGTGGCAATTCAGTAAATTAAACCAAACTACGATAGGGCTAAATTAATTTTCAGTTGCATCTCTGTTTTGAGCAAAGAGTTGATAATGGCTTTTCAGAAATAAAAAGCCAGAACACAACCCACCCATTTTTATAGCCTGTGATGAAACAAACCAGAATAAAATAAGTAGAAAATATCCCAGCCAAAGCCAGCATAATGAAAAGCAAGAAAAGCTACGTTATATCCTAATGCTCTGAAATCAGAAGTTGCCTGCACAGGAAATTTGATACGCTATTCTTGATATCACCTCATTTGTGAGATTTAATTACTACCTTATACAGCAAATACAGCACTTACACAGTGGATACTGCAAAACTGTATCCACCACCCATTCAAGCCTTAGTCTAAGCTAAAAAGAGAAATTACACTAATGTAGCTCTGTCTGCATCCTATCACTTGCTTTTATCCAATACAGCCACAAAAATCAGACAGGTAATTCAAAGCACCCTTATAAGCAAACTACACTTACACAGAGACTTACATATATTTAGACAAAAAGCCAATCAAGCTTACACAGGCTGTGTAACATATAGCAGGATTATATATAACTTGCTGTGAACTGCTAATACACTTTTTTCTTAATAACAAGGACAAACTATCTTTAAGGAGTCAAATACCCACTGGAAGGCAATCATGTAAGATGCCTGCCTGCTTACGGGTATGCTGGTGAACCTGCTGATTTGGTGTGATAATGATTATCTACACGTTTCTGAGTTCGGTATCTGCAGCTCCAAAGGGCCTAGTATGCACATCCAGACACTCACATTGTCCTGGCTTCCACAAAGAGGCTGGCTTGCGGGTGGGAGGCATGTTATACATTGCTACAGGACTGTGATAAAAGTACTTGTTTCCATGCACACAAAGTCACACAGGTATTTCTCGTTCTGTCCTCTCCTAGACTTTGTGTTTCTTATGCCTACTTTCTTTAGTTCCCTCGTATCTTCCATAATATTTTTCCTTTGTGATCTTTCTCATACATCAACTAGGGTTTTCCACGCAGAAGAATGCACTCAGTAAGGTTGTTTTCTAACTTGAGACACTTAAAAGAAAAAAGAAATAATTAAGGGTGAAATCCTGATTGCACCGAAGTCAATGTCAAAATCTCAATCCTTTCAATAGTTCTTCATCCAAGGTCTCTTTCATACTCTTTTTCATGAATTAATGCAATGTCACATTGCAATGTTTCATCTCAAAAGACTGCACTTTCATTCAAATGATAATGTGAATAACTTGCAAATTATTACAGAAAAAAAGTGTTTCTTTTTGGCATATACAATCTCTTCTATATTGCAGTAAGGTAACACTGATATCATGTTAAAGGCTATACCACAGTGAACAACAGTGGATTATTCTAGCTGCAGTTATAAAAAGATTTTTGGCTTTTTTTTTTATAAATCTTAAAATAGGGTACATACAGCTTGTGACTTTTAACAGCTTATAGCTTTAGACATGATATCATATCATAGTATAACAAAATCCAACCTTCACTATCATTTTTTCATACTAAATGAATCTTTTAGATCAACCATATACTGGAAAAGAGCCCTATGAAGGTTCAGTTTCCTAAATATGAACTGAATGTTACTCTTTCAATGTTCAGCTATGACTCTGCATAGAGAAATACTGCAAATTTAAATACAGCATTTTTTAAAAGACAATGTTCCTTTTAAAGTTAAGCAAGTCTTCATTATAGTTTCTTCATCATGTTTTCTGATGGGATTATGCACCTTTCATTCCAACCTTATAAATTCTGTTTACTATAGTTACTATTCATATACAGTTTTTCATAGCACATAACTTTGTCCTGATCACAAGAGAATTCAACAGCAGTTAAAATTAACTTGTTTAGTATAGTGTTCATTAAAGATTTAAATAAGCATTCTTAAATTACAGGTCTAATATGCAGAAATCTTAGAAACAGTTATAATCTTCAATTAAAAATACCAATAAATAAGTAGGGGTTTTATATAAAGCAATTATTGTGCTTTATAAAGCACACATTGTTAACATACTGCCTATATCATGTATTAATAAATGCTAACTTAAACTGATATATTAAAGAAAGTCACTTAGACACCTCTCTGATCATTTGAATTCTTTTCTCAATACAGCCAAGCTTACACCTATTTTTACTGAAGTTAATATATGTTCCTCACTCAAAATAACATGTGAAAACAGGATTCTCACAGACATAGAATGTTTTCCATAATAGCTTCATAGTTCCAGCAGAAAAGATACTTCTACCTAGTCCTAGTAAACTTAGTCCCAAAGTTGTATTTGCAACCCCCAAATAAAAAGGAAATATATACCATATTGAACATGATGAAATCTTTTCCTCCTAAACACTACAAGTCCCTTTATAACTACAGCACTTAGTCTCCTAAAGATCTTTATTTGGGTTTTATACTAAAAGAAACACTATTACACTGAAGTGTCTGAAACATTAAAGTAAGCTTATTGTGTCCTTCGCATGGCTCAGGGCTATTAGCTAAGCTGCTGCACCCTATGCAGCATTTAGTATGCTATCATAATGGTAATAATCAGTAAGGTATAATAAAAACGCATATATATGTATTACCATACAATAAGTGACAGATTGCTGCATTCATTTGGGAAATATTCCTAACAAGACAAACAGAATTGTGCTATGCCTAGAGACCACATACAGAAATAATTAGAAGTCGGCTGCCAGTAGCCATCTTTGGGGTGGGGAAAACTATACACCATTCATTCAGCTTCTTTCATTAATGAGTCTGCTGCTTTACTTTCTCTTGAACTGTACTTACAAACCCCACAGGCTACACCCTGACACTGATTTGTAAGTAGAACTCTCCAGTGAAAGCAAAGAAGAACTTGGTTTATAAATGCATAGTGCACTATCTTCAAAACTCTAGGAAAAACAGGAAAAACTTCTGAATTTTGTAAAAACAATGGACCTTCTTATCCAGACAGGGTTCACTTCTGAAGCAGGAAATGCAACCAGAACATTAAAGGACACTGCAGAGTCTCTTAAACCTTTTTCTTGGACATTTCTTATACATCCGGTAAAACCAATTTTTAAGTGCTTTGATGAAGTCGACTTATCAAATTCACACAAAGCTGCACACGGATGAGCTACTCTTGTGGCCAAAGGGCTGAGGAAACTCACAGTCAAACTGGACATTCCCACTTCTTTTTGCTTCCAGTTCCAAAACTCTTAATGGTAGGGTAATGGGGAACACATGAAGCATCAGACTTAGCAAAGAACACACAGCTATGTGCTGTGCTGCATCTTACACATACATACAAAAGTACAAGTAGGTCAACCAAAAACAAAACAAAGAGATGGAGCTACAATCAACTGAAGTGCAAAATCCTGCTGTAGTCAAAATGCAGGTGAAATCATCTTGATTGTGCTATAATGTCATATAGGAAGAAATAACTAATACATTCATTCCTTCAAAATCAAATACACTATGTAATAAATATTTTTAATAACACCTGACGTATTAGCTGCTAATCCAACCAGTCAATAAAGACAAAAATTTTAAGCTTAATGTTTATTAAAAAAAAATAAAAACACCAAGTTTTAACTGGAATTGAATAGGGTTTTGAGCAGCAATAAACCTTTGAGACTGTTATTTCCTAAAGCTCCAGAAGAAAGGTTAATTTCCAGAAGAAAGGTGAACTAAAAAGAGAAAATAACAGACTTGGCACCCACTGAATGCACACTGTACCATTTAAATCTTTGCTGAATTCTGTACAGTATAGGATGTTGCTGTCAATAGGGAAGAAAACTCCCTTCAAGTCTCATCTGGGATCACTACTACCCAGCGTTTCACTACGAACTCTGGGGAAGAAAGGGCAAACTGTCATTCATCACATTTGCTCCTTACCTGAAATTTATAGTTTAAAACTTTGTCCTGACACTGAAAATGGTAATAAATCTAGAAAGAGGAGGAGGAAGGAAAGGGAAGAAAAACAGCCTTCAATATTCTATACTGAAGAAAAAACAGCTATATAAATCAAAAGGCTGACTTATCAGTATAGAGATTTTTAATAGAAAAAATATCAAGGGGAGCATACCATATGGATCTAAGTGCTCTCCACATATGTTGGGTTTTTTTTTATTTGAAGACTAACATATGTGAGGAGATGCATAAGAAGTGATTTCTGAAGATCTCATCTGGCTTATTTTTAATTGGAATTATATTAGATTTTCTATGTAACTGAGTAACAAATGACTGCTGTTGCTTCACTAAGTGTTACTGTCAGTTATAGATTGATAGATTTGGATTTTATTTACTTTGAATATGAAAGATGGGCTCATTAATAGCTAAAATAACTGCAAAAAAGGAGAGTGAAGACTATGCCATATAAAATACGTGTAAGTCACAGAATGCTATATACATCATAATTGTATTATTATAATTTTACTGCATGTTTAGATTCAAAGAATTTCACAACTTCAGCAAGGCCAAAAAATGTATCATACAAGATGCCCATCTAGAAAGTCACAAACGTACATCTCAAAATGCAGCTGCCCTAAGTAATTTTCTGCTACCATTTTATTTCTCCACTACAGACTGTTACAATGTGTCAGAACTTTGATCAGCTCTTGGAAAACTATAGCTTGGGTTTGAGATTTAAACTGAGTTAACTTAGTGGAATAAACACCTCCAGGACTAAATTTCTGACACTCCAAGTGGCAAAAATGTTTATTTTCATTATAAGCTGATAGTTCTCATTTACAAGTGCATAATCCAGTAATTTCTGCCAAGGGAAGGACAGTCTTTTCAGGCTGAATTACACCTAAGATTTTACTACTGCTGCTATCAACTCGAACAAGTCCTGTATGTACCAGCATGGTCTGCATGGTCTATCTACCTTGAAGATGTCATGGGCCTCTATAAAAAGATTTGGATGGTTATGAGGAAGTCTCAGAGATATGACTCAGGTAGCTCAAAAAATCTATCAGAAGCCACAAATTATTTTGTTTTCTGAGGAAAAAGCAAGATTCATTTTTAATCAAAACAATACACATCAGCATTATGACATATGGAACTTCTGAAAGATTGTAAGTCAGGTACTCAGCTGAAACCTTAACTAGGAATGACATGGTGCTAAGAATAATGTCAAGCCACTGCATAACAAGTGGCTGGTTTCTATGAGCCAATGCCTGGGCCAGCTCAGTTCCATTAATGTTTTACTCCATTATCTGAGAGCTGACATCTTTTCAGTAATTACTGCAGATGATACCACCTCTGGTGTAATTAAAGAACGATTATTTAGAGTGAAGTGAGCCAAGATCATCCCCATTCTCTGTTTAGGCCAAAGCCAAAGAAGGGCTTGTCAAATAAAATGGATGTTTTGCATTAGGGAGCAAAAAAAGGGTGATGTAAAGAGTCAAGTAATTTGATGGGCAATGCTGCAGTGGAATTAATTCAATATGTTCAATATGGTCAGTTCCATGCCTAGTAATATTGGACAGATGGGTATGATAGCTATGTACTTTCACTGCTTTTGCATTAGTGATTCAGTACTTACAAAGCAAACCTCAGACAGTTCCTGGCTTGTTGCCCGGTGAGAGAAAGACTGGAAGCAAAACACATTAAATGCTCCTGCAAATCCACATACTCTGCAACCCTTCTGCAATGAGCTTCATTCAAAATGACCCTCTGGACACCAACCAAAAAAAATAATCATCATCGTAACATGAGCCTATAAACTTTTTGGATTAACGGTTAAATAATAATGAACAAGAACTGAAAGGAGCAATTCACTTTATATGAATACTAATGAGAGAGGGCTTGATGCATTCTTTGGTTTTGACAGGAACTAGGTAAAAGGACTAATTAACTCTCTTACTTAAAACATAAATTACATGTTTTAAGGAATTACTACCAGAAGAATGGAGTTAATGAATGCATTCTATCAGACACAGGAAGGCAAAAGATCACAACTGACCAAAACATACATTTCCTAATGCATCAGAGTTCAGTTCTTCTACAGCAAAGGTCAGGTTTGGTCAACTGGAGGTAACAAATTTTCCCTTCAGGA